GACTGATTCGGAGTGAGACCTCTGCTGATAGACTGGAGCCAGTCATATGCACACTGCCCAGGTATGGGAAACTCTCCACTCTCTCCACAACTGCCCCATCACCAATTGGGAGTTGTGGGGGTGGAGTGTCCGATGGTACAAAATACCCAGGCAGGTGCTTAGTTTTGGTGGGGCTGATGGTAAGGCCCCACCTCTTGGTGGCACGCTCCAGTCTCAGCAGCAGCGTCTCCAACTCCTCTTCTGAATGAGCAGCTATTACCAAATCATCGGCATACATAACGTGGTTGACCAATAGGGAGCCATCCCTTGATCGCACCCGGGCGTCGATCAGCCTCCCATTATATCTGTACCAAATGGAAATTCCTCCGGTACAGCTATTGAAGGCTTCACGAACTACGCGGTCAAAATAGATGTTAAATAATGTGGGAGCCAGAGGACATCCCTGTCGCACCCCAAGGTGTACAGGGAAAGGCTCCGACTCCCGGCCACGTAGTTTTATCCTGGCCCGCTCACCATCATGAAGGTCCTTAATGATCGTGAGCAGAGGGTCAGGGACTCCGAAAGCACGAAGAACAACCCAGAGCCCAGTCCTACTGATGGTATCATAGGCCTTGACCAGGTCAATAAAGCAGAGATGTAGGTCTTTTTGGAATTCCCTACACCTCTGCTGTAGCAGACGGACAGAAAATATGGCATCTGTGCAGGACCGCCCTTTCCTGAAACCGCATTGGGGCTCCGCAAGCCTCTCCTCAGCGTGCCTAGCAAGGCGATGTTGAATAATCCTTGCCAGGACCTTACCCGGCACACTGAGGAGTGAGATGCCCCTGTAGTTGTTACAGTCGGTACGGTCCCCCTTCTTAAAGAGAGGAACCACCAGGGCATCCTTCCAGTCCTGCGGAACCCGTCCAGTGGTCCAGACTGTTGTTATGATGTCATATAGGGCAGTCTGTGCACAAACGCCACCCTCCCTCAGCATTTCGCTTGGGAGATCATCTCTGCCCGATGCCTTCCCTGGTCTCAGACTCCGGATCGCCCTCAGTACTTCCTCAACAGCTGGCACCTCAGCCAGCCACTCACAGGGGGTGACCTCTTCCAATATTTGAGGCACCTACACACACACACTTTAACACTCCTACACACACACACTTTAACACACCTACACACACACACTTTAACACTCCTACACACACACACTTTAACACACCTACACACACACACTTTAACACACCTACACACACACTTTAACACTCCTACACACACACACTTTAACACACCTACACAAACACTTTAACACTCCTACACACACACCTACACACACACACTTTAACACTCCTACACACACACACTTTAACACACCTACACACACACTTTAACACTCCTACACACACACCTACACACACACTTTAACACACCTACACACACACACTTTAACACACCTACACACACACTTTAACACTCCTACACACACACCTACACACACACACTTTAACACTCCTACACACACACACTTTAACACACCTACACACACACACTTTAACACTCCTACACACACACGCTTTAACACACCTACACACACTTTAACACACCTACACACACACTTTAACACACCTACACACACACACTTTAACACTCCTACACACACACACTTTAACACTCCTACACACACACACTTTAACACACCTACACACACACTTTAACACACCTACACACACACACACTTTAACACACCTACACACACACACTTTAACACACCTACACACACACACTTTAACACACCTACACACACACACTTTAACACACCTACACACACACACTTTAACACTCCTACACACACACTTTAACACACCTACACACACACTTTAACACACCTACACACACACACTTTAACACACCTACACACACACTTTAACACTCCTACACACACACTTTAACACTCCTACACACACACTTTAACACACCTACACACACACTTTAACACTCCTACACACACACACTTTAACACACCTACACACACACTTTAACACACCTACACACACACTTTAACACTCCTACACACACACTTTAACACTCCTACACACACACTTTAACACTCCTACACACACACTTTAACACTCCTACACACACTTTAACACACCTACACACACACTTTAACACACCTACACACACACACTTTAACACTCCTACACACACACTTTAACACACCTACACACACACTTTAACACTCCTACACACACACACTTTAACACACCTACACACACACACTTTAACACTCCTACACACACACTTTAACACACCTACACACACACACTTTAACACACCTACACACACACTTTAACACTCCTACACACACACTTTAACACACCTACACACACACACTTTAACACACCTACACACACACACTTTAACACTCCTACACACACACACTTTAACACTCCTACACACACACCTACACACACACCTACACACACACTTTAACACACCTACACACACACACTTTAACACACCTACACACACACACTTTAACACACCTACACACACACTTTAACACTCCTACACACATACTTTAACACACCTACACACACACACTTTAACACACCTACACACACACTTTAACACACCTACACACACACTTTAACACACCTACACACACACACTTTAACACTCCTACACACACACACTTTAACACTCCTACACACACACACTTTAACACTCCTACACACACACCTACACACACACCTACACACACACTTTAACACTCCTACACACACACCTACACACACCTACACACACACACTTTAACACTCCTAC